CTCTTGTAACCTAATCATATGGCTTTAATCCCTCATGATGCATTCTTGCCCTTTATCCAAAATAATTGTGTGTGTGTGTATGTATATATATGTATGTTGCAAAAAGATAAAGTGTTGAAAACAGTGACTATTGTTGAAAACTAAATTATCCCCAGTTTATGTTGCAAACAACAGATGGGATTAGATTGATAACAACTGTTTGTGGTGTTTTTCTGCTGTTCTGAGTAGGGGTCAGAAAAGGCTAATTCTTCCCTCATAAGACAAGGTTCTTCATTTCTTTCCCATGTCATGCTAGATGTACTGTTTAAATAGAGAAAGACAGTTCACCTTGACTGGAAGGACAGTTTGGAGAGAAAATAGATGGAGCAAGTTCTGAGAACAGATTTGGTTTAAACAACTCTAAGAATCAGGTTGTCTTTGATCAAGCACTGCTGCATTGTGGCATTTCCACCACAATGGTACATGCTTGTGATCCCAGAGCTAGGGCAATAGAGACAAGTGCACCCCTGGGGCTCACTGGCCAGCCAGCCTAGCCTAATTGGCAAGCCAATGAGAGACCTGGAAAACAAAGCAGACAGCTTCTGAAACACAATTCCCCAGGTTGACCTCTGACCTCCATGTGCTTGCTTACACATGCATGCACACCTGCACACACAAGTACATATACACACAAATGCATACAGAAAAGAAGTTCAAGGCTATCCTCATCTACAGAGTGAGTCCAAGGTCATCCTGGACTTCATGAGACATGGTCTCAACAAAAAGAAGAAAAATTAATTAATTAAAAGAAAGAGGGTCAGTTAAGCATAAACACCCACTAAGTAGCCCAGCTTATTAAAAAACTTCTTGCATTCCTCCAATCTCAGCCTTCCAAGTACTGGGATTAAAGGCATAAATCACCAGTCAAGGCTTCAGATACAGTCTGTATCTGAAGATACATGAAGATCCAACACAACTTGGAATCTGATTTGCATGAGCTTATAGTTCAGTGAGAGAGACAGATAATCATGAAAGAGTTCCTCCCTCCCTCTTCTTCTCCCTTTCCCTCTCTTTCTTTTCCCTCCCTCCCTCCCTCCCTCCCTCTCTTCCTTCCTTCATTTTGGTCTTTTTGAGACAGGGTCTCCTTGTAGCCACAGCTGGCCTGAACTCCCTTTGTAGACTAGGCTGGCCTCAGTCTCACAGAGATCCATCTTTATTTGATTTTAGAGTTGATAACTATTTGTGTATATAACATTATGCTTGATGCATATATTAGGGAATGATTAAATAAAGCTAATTAGCATGCTTATTACCTCACATAGTTATAATTTTGTGACTCAGATATTTAGTGTTATATATTTTATTTTTTATTGAATTTTCATGAATTTCATACAATATATCTTGATCATATTTAGACCCCTACCCCATCTGCATTCCCCTAAATTCCCCCCCATCAGATTTCAAGCATTCTGTCATATATGTTAAGGCCTATTGAGCCACATTTTTGTCCCCAAATGTCCCTTCCTGTGAGTCCATCAGCTTGAGCCTGATCAATTTATTTACTATCACTCCCTTAAAGAAAACCAATTCTCTTGCCTGGCATGGTGGTGGCACACCTTTAACTCCAGCACTTGTGAGGCAGAGGCAGGTGGATCTCTGTGAGATCAAGACAGCCTGGTCTACATAGTGAGTCAGCTGGGGCTACAGGGAAACCCTGTCTCAAAAAAAGACAAAATAAAATTTAAAAAAAAAAGAAAAGAAAAAGAAGAAGAGGAAAAGAAAACCAACTCCCCCTCTCCCAGTAGTCATCAATTGCCACCATTTTCTCAGTTATGCTTGGGGCTTTCTTACTCTTTTCCCCACATCTATGTTGAGTTTTTGTCTGGTTTGAGTTTGCATGGATCTTGTGAATGGTGTCACCATTGCTGTAAGTTCATATGAGCAACTTCCTAGTCACCTGGAAAACTGTTTCCTTGTGATCATTCACCATCCTTGGCTCTTACGGTCTTTCTGCCTCCTCTTCCTCAATGGCCCCTGAGCCTTGGGTGGCAGAGGTTTGATATAGATGCCCTATTCAGGGATAAGCATTCTGTAGTCTCTTATTCTCTGCACTTTGGCCAGTCATGGCTTTCTAGAGTAATCACCATGAGGAAACAGAAATTTCACTGGTAAGAGTTGAGAGATGCATTAATATTCCTTCTTCCCTATGTTCCACTATGTTCCCTGAGTGTTAGGTATAGAGGTTGCATTATAGATGTGTCACTTAGGGAAGGGCATCTCATAGACACTTATTCTCTGCATTTGACCAGCTGCAGAACTCTGTAATGGTCTTCATCTGTTGCCAAAAGAAGCTTTTTTGATGAGTGGTAAGAGGTACACTTGTCTGTAAATATAAGGATACATATTTAGAATGCACTAAGAAATTATGTTTGTCTAGGGAGACAAAAGTAAGTTTTTCTCTAGGATCCATGGCCTCTACAGCCATGTGTAGTTGGCTATGTTTACAGTACCACATATGAGTTCTCTCTCACTGATCAGGCCTTAAGTCTGGAATTGTTGATTACCCCCAAGATAAAAGTGCCACTGCTGCACCAATAGTGATAGTTTACTGTGCTGGTCATTGTTGTAGTTATTAGGCTTTATACTTGGGTAGAACCATTGATTGGCTTTCTCTCTTGGCAGCTTGCTTCATATCCTCTAATCCTATGAGAGCTGTGAGTGGTGAAATGTGTTTCAGCATCATCAGTATGTAATAATAATATTCACAGGGTGAAAAGTGACAGTACCAGAATTCTGAGGAATGGTCCTTTTCCTTATTGCCAGTGTTGGAGGCAGGAGATAGGTCAGGTCAGATAGGTCAAGTCATATGGTAAAGATTGTAGGGCAATGAAAATTCATATGCTGGAGAGATTATTGAGCCATTAAGAGCACATACTGTTCTTGCAGGGGACCCAAGTTTGATTCCCACACCCACACCTATAGCTCACTACTGCCTGTAACTTCAGCTCCAGTGGGGAATATGTTGCCCTCTTCTAGCCTCTGCGGGCAACTGCACTCACATACACATATCCACACAGGGACACAAAGACATATGCAAAATTAAAATTGATAAAAATAAATATTAAAAGATTCATGACCTGGGAGATAAGGTAAAATGATAGTACCAATTTGGGAATCAATTTGGCACTATCCAACAAAACTAAAGGTACATGTGCTTTATCCCCTAGCAGTCCTACCCCAGGTGGAAACAGTTGCTCCCACACAGAAGACATTTGCAAGAACATTTATAGCAGTTTTGATTATTATAGCAAAAACAAGGAAGCAATGTAAATGTCCACTAGGAAGAAAATGAAACTTTGACAGAATAGCCATATGATGAATACAAATTATGAAAAAATGAATACAAATGAACTGAGGTACATATATAAACCTGGACAAACCTCAAAAGTACAGTGCTGTGCAAGAGGAGCAAGCTGCAGGAGAATCTGTGCAAGAAGTTTCCAAACAAGCAGAACACAGCTATATATTGTTTATGCATGCATGCACATATATACATATATTGATGTACAAGCTCTCTATATAGCAAAAGCACAGACTCATGGGCATGAGAAATACCAAAATGAGGACATGATTCCTCCAAGGAAGGGACAGGATCTGTGAGTGTTAGATGGTGCATTTCAATATGTCTTCATATTTTATTTTGTTAGGGAAATGAATGTAAAACAAATATGACAAAATGTTAAGGTCTGACAGGCTAGATGCTGGGTGTGTAGATATTTATTATCAATCCAGTAGACTTTTAGATTGCTTGAACATCTCATAATAAAAATGGATAGAGAAATGTATGTGTGCTTTGAAATACAAATTTCCATGTTAGTAATTTATTTATTTATTCTAGGAAAATCCTCACAAATATATGGAAGAGATTTATCTGCTAATACATTGTTGTAAATGTTATTTATGAAATTGAAAAATTAGAGAAAACTTATTCTCTCCATAAGAGCTTGTTTTAACTATATTACAGTACTACTTGGTAAGGGGAAATACAATGCAGCTCTCACAGTAATAACATAGAAGAATATTTATTGGCATGAAGAAAAGTTTGTAGTATTTTGTTAAGAAAAATACTAGAAAGCAGTTTTAACTCAATTTGTAAAATGAAAATCTCTATTTTTCTATATATGCAGATTCATAAATAAAGACAAAGAACATCCACAAAAATGTCCACAGTAGTTATCTCTGAGTGTCCCAACCCACACGACACCTCTACCGTGGGGCGACGAGTGAGGGTCCTAGAAGAAATGAACAAACAAGGAACATGAATAAAGGAAGCAAGACAGCGTTCTGATCAAGCTCCGTTTATTGAGTACACACAGCATATTTTTATAGTAGGGTTAGGGCGGGGGGAGCGGAAGGCGGGAATAGAAGAAAGAAGAAGAAAGGCTCTGGTGGAATTTTCCACTAAGGGCTAATTGCCAAAGAAAGGAAGAGGGTGTTTTTCTAAGAAGGCATATGGTTAGGTGAGATAAAGAAATTGCCTGAGTAGGAGTAAGGGGCCAGGGCAGGGCTAAGGTGAAAAAACCATGTTTTCTTTTGAAAAGACCATTAAGTTTTTCTTTCATGCTATGGCTGGTAATTATTAAACGGTATCTGGCATCTCCACCCTTTCCACAAGAACAAGACCCCTCCCGAGAACGATTGTTCTCAGATGCTCTTGGTATGTTTTGGGGAGGCGAGGCAGAGCAGAGCGTTAAAGGCCCAAGTCAATGGAGCCAGCAGAGTTCCCGGGTGACTGCACCTGTCTTAGGTCGGAAGCGATCTCGCCTCAGGTGGCACTCGTCATGGGATAAGGCAGCAGCTTAGGTGACCTTCCTGTCTTAGGTGCTTAAGATGGGGAGTCGCCTCTCTTACCCGTCTTTGGCTGCCAGTCAAGCTCGCCGGGGTGGATATCATACATACCAACCTCTTAATGGCCAAGTTTCCTGGAGGCTAGGAGGATGCCAATTATTATAAAACGCCAGCTACTTCAGATATAAGGCAGGCGGGGACCCCAAGGGGGTGTTGTACTCAGCCCCAGATGGGTCCTCCATCTCTAGTCTTTGATAATGAACTTGGATGGGTTTAGCTAAGATGGAATCAATTTGTTGTTTAATGAGACTTGTTAGTCTATTAAATGCCCAGGGCCCAAACGAAATAACAAGTAGAAGGCCAAGGAAAGGTCCTAAGATAGGTAAGAGGTAAGGCAGAAGCCCGCCGAGTCCAGACCAGAAGGGATTATCCTGGAGTTCTTTGCTCCATTTTTCAAGTTGATCTTGAAGGTTTTTGACTTTGTCACGGACTATACCGGACTTGTTGGCATAGAAACAGCATTTCTCCTGTAAAAATAAGCAAACTCCGCCTTTCTTGGCTGTTAGTAGGTCTAGGCCTCTTCTGTTTTGCAGGACTACCTCAGCGAGGGAATCTAATTGGTTTTGAATGTCTAAGATAGTTTCCGAGAGGAGCTGGACATCATTGATAAGTTGTAGAGAAAGCTTATGATATGCATGGGTCGCAACTCCTAATCCTGCAGTTCCGGTGGCCATTCCAGCGGCGATACCCAGTGTTGCTAATAAAGGTATCATTTGGATTGCTCTCTTTTGGAGACCTCCAACGTACTCAAAAGAAAGGATGGGGATGGATTCATCGCCCGGAACAATATCTAGATCTGGAAGTAGGACAGCGAGGGCACAATAACCCGTCCAGTTACCAGGAAGGAAGCTATGGGCCCATCCTCCCCCGCAGACGAATACGGTGCCCCGAGGTGGACATAGATTAATGGCCATAGAGTTAGTGATGTTTGAACTGCAGGATGTATGAGGAATGGTCCCCAGATCAATTCTGGAACTGTTAGGATACGGTGAAGAAAAAATACAAAGTCCTGGTAACATGGGCAGGGCTTGGGCTTGTAAGGGGGGCAAGAGGGTACAATTATTATGTAGAGGCAATAAGTCAGGATCTGAGTTATTTGTAATGGCAGAGGCATTGATGATTAAAGGGATGGGCACTGGGGGCCCAATTTTCTGACATAACCAACAGTTATCAGCAAGGGAAGGAACAGTCTGGTTTAAGAGGGCATGAGTAAGTTCTAATAAGTCTTCTGTTTGAGGGTCAAGTTCTAATTCTCCTCGGTCTTTAGGCAGCGCCAGGGGATGATAATTAAGACTAGGATATATTTTTTTTATTCTTTCTTGTATTTCTGAATTAACTTTGGCTTCTTTTACTCTATCTTGTACTCCTCCCCCATCAGTGTATCCTATGGGAGCCTCGTAGTTCCAGCACACTTCTGTACCTACATTTCTATAACAATTAGAGGCAGTCAAGTTTCCCTCAGTGGCGAGGGGGCGCCGGGCTAGTCGTGTCACCATCCAATAGGTTTTATTTTGATAGGAACACTCTTGAGCAAAATTATAGCAGA